GTAGAGAAATTTAGAAAAGAAGGTATGCTTGCCTATCCCAATCATGATTTTGGAAAACACACGATTGTACTTTTATGAAAACCGTGCATAGCACAAAGCATAAAAATCTAATCCAGAGTCGTAGCTAAGGAGGGGCCCCTTGAGGTACCTGTGTCCCCTCTGCTTTGTGAGATTATTTTTTCCCTTTTTAAGTCAGCAACAGACAGATCTTATAACTCAAGTGGGGAAACGCGTGAATACGAGCCCACCAACACACAAGCTAAAGCAGCGGGATAAACCATTCACGCAAGCTGAGCGTAAATTCGTTTCCACGCCCGTTTAGATGCGAGATCATGCTACGATCAATTCGAAGTTTCTATGGAATCTAAGTGATTTTGCTTTGTTTTCAGCCGAACAGTTCCGCTCAAGGTTTGGAGGCAGTACTTACCATAAGATAACAATAGGACTGAATCTGTTTGTTGACAACTCGCTCAAGGAGTTTGAGACATTTTGGCGACGAGAAGAATGGCGCCTTGTCTCACTTGTCTTGGAAAGATTTTTTACTTATTTCTTTTTGTTTACAGTTCTTATTTCTTTTTTTGTTTTTGCTGCAACTGTGTGGTAAAGGATGATAAAAAAAATACCCACACAAATAGGTACAATTATTCTCGCAAAAAAAACGAGGGTAAATCGTTGAAAAATAAAGTAACCAGTTCATCCTTATCATGCAATGAAAATCTACCGAAGTTCTAATTGCACTGAGTTGTGTAGCAACTACTATGAGTGATAAGGAGACGCTCAGTTCTCTTAAATTAGGGGAAGAGAGGGTCGGGTCTGGCGTCAGGCATGGTAACCTGATAGTTACTAGCTTGCTTGATGTTGCAACAGGAAACAGTGTGGGGAATTAAAAAAGAGACCTTTAGCCCCTTTCTAACAAGGTTCACACCCAAATAGAGCCAAAATTAGGGTAGAAAGAGCGATCTGAGTGTAAGAAAAATTGTTTTGTTGTTGATAACGGTAACTCGCCACAATAAAGAGTTTCTAAAGATGATATTTCAAATTTTAGCTCTCTGTCAGTCAGAACAAATGACTTCCCACCGACACAATACTACAGTTTCTATAGAAACTTAGCCCCTTTATCAACTTCAAACAAATTAGAATTGACGCAAGTTCTGAATTCGCTAAACAATTCTTAAACTGGCCCTGATTGTTTTTATTGCCCCTCAAAGAGGATTCACGATTACATTATGATTATGTGTTTATGGAAGGGTCACTGAGGCACTGACTGATCATTCTTTTTGGAATAATCATAAAGATACCATAATGAAGTAGAGAGTAAGAGAATGTGATTTCACTTGCTGAAAGCATGAATTGTACATGAGTTCTTCTTTGCATTTTCCTCTGAACTTTCTATTCGCATCATCATCTTGAACTCTGTCAGAAAAAGAGGTATAAACGCTGAGACCTTTGCAATCCCCCAAATACAAATCTAACCAGAAATAGATCATTACCCAGTTCTAAAAATTCCTCACTTTCAAAATGAGGCTAAGAGTAAAACATTTTTAATGAAATTATCCGTACGTGTATGAAAATAAAGAATAGTCTTCATATCAACAGTCTTGGGCTTACCCTCGTTTTGAATCAGACACTTTGTGCGTAACACGTTGTTTAATTCTTGAGAAAGTTCTCTCAATGATAAACGCATTTTGGCGGCACCCCTTCAAGTTTCTATTTCAATCCAACATCAACTTTCCACAGAAATTTGCAGAACACTGTCCACAAACAGAAAATGACTCTTACGAATGGCATTGCAACACTAAACAAATCACACCATAACATGTTAAAATATCTTTACCCTCAAAAGATATTTTTCTGTTTCCTGATTGGCATTTGTCCTCTAAAATCTCGTCCAGCACGCTTTCAGGGATGTCCTCTTCCAACGTCGCAAACGCTTGCCGAAGCTCCGATGTAAGGATGAACCCCCGGTCATCTCTGTCGAAGATTCTAAAAGCTTCTTTAGCTTCGCAGAGTTCCATCCCATTTTGATTTTTTGTCAACATGAGGTTCACAAATTCTTGGAAATCCATCATACCATTTCCTGTGATAAGTAGAAAGTATGTTATGGTGGCACCTCACGGTAAATAGCGCTTGCGCTTTCATGGAATGTCGGGAGCACAATAAATCTCTCAGCCCTCCTAGCGAACGTGTCTTCATTTTGAAGACAACATATAGGGGTTACCATGGAGAAACACTTTATCTTCTTTATAATTTTATCTGATCAAACCCGAAGTAGTACAGCAAATGGTTTGAACCTGGGGTAACATGTAATCTTACACACTGCTCCCTGTCTGTTCCTCGGCTCGTCTTTGTCTTTGACGTTAGTCAGTAACTGACGTAGTGTGGTAATAGGTTTGTGAGCTCACAAACCTATGAACCGAAGATAAGATCAATTGCTCCGACTGCCACGCCTCCTACATCGGTGAGACTGGCAGAAACCTCAAAACTAGACTGAACACAAACGAGCGACAGGGAAAGGCGATGTCAACAATCACATTGCTGAACATCACCGACTTACGAACCACACTATTGACTGGGACTCTGCGCAATACCTACAGCACCAACTAATTTCAACGACTGACTCTGGAAAGCTGGTTTACTAACTTGGAACAGACTCCCCTCAACAGTTGTTAACCACTACCGGCACCATACAAACGACTCATTCACGACATTAACATTAGAAACGAACCGAGCAGAACGATCTAACTTCACTCACGTATCGAGCCTGACCAATCACGACCGACCTACGCCACTTGAGTCTTATAGCTAATAACATCACGATAAAACTGACCAATCAGTTTATAGAAACCGGACTAAGTACCTTCGACTGACAACAACTATTCACTATTTTCACCAGAAACGGTTTAATCATTAGGTGTTGGTCACGTGACCTCCAAGTAACCAATGAGATCGTACGTCGATGGGGATAACTCCAGGAAAGCAACGATAATACTTTTTCCCTTTCGTTACTTACCATCAATATCCACGGTGTTGATAATACGCTGTAATTCATTTTCTGTGAGGTTTACACCAAGGGACTTCATCAGTGTTCCCAGCTCTTTAGTTGTGATGCAACCACTGTTGTCCTTGTCAAAATAACGGAAAGCCTCATAGTATTCTGGAAAATCCAACAACAAAAATATAATTTCTCTATCAGGTTGTCGAATTTTTTTTAACCTCATTAACAAACTGATAACCCTCCTCGCCGCTCGTTTGTGTTCAGTCAATCTAGTTGTGAGATTTCTGCTAGTCTCGCTGATGTAGGAGGCGTGGTCTGTCAGTGGCGAGGATTACAGAATAATTTTGTTGTGAGTTATCAACTGAGTTGATAATGCGAATTGGCCACCGTAGAGAGTTTTAAAGCTGACGTTTCGAGCGTTAGTAGCGTTTCATCAGAGTGAATGCATGGATGGTCGCTTGTTTGGTGAGTTGATTAATTGATTCACTGATTGATCGATCGATCGACTGACTGAAGAAATGATTGCGGATGAATAAATGGATTCATCTTTCAGCGTAGTCATGCTCTGCGTGGGTTAAAGGATCTGATCTCAATCTCATTTCAATGGTTACCTTCCAGCTGGCTCTCTGGGATCGATTCCTAGGAAAGAAATAATTGAAACAGTCCATTGTAAAATAATGAATTCCAAAAAAGAAATGATAGGAATATCAAATTAGTTTAAAAACATAACAACACAGAAGAAACGTTACGTCAGTTTGAAAATATCGTTACCAAGAAAAATACTTAAGTACTAAGGTTACTGCATGCGTGTATTTGTCTGCTCTATGAATCTTCACTTTCGACCCTACAGAAAAAACGCACTAAAACCGTTCAAGCCATTTATGATCAGAAACGCGAGAGTTACGCTAAAATTAAAATGACATAAAAGTTGAACCTAAGAATACAGGATTTAGGCCCAAACGTGTTCTTATCATTTTTTGACCCAAAGCAAATCCAGAGAATTTTCTCAAACCTTTTTGATATTTTAAGCTCGAGGTAAGCCCTATATTTATCAAATCATCTCAAAATAGTTCTCACCAACCATTTTAAAGTTGACGACAGAAGATTGCTGCTCCAACACTCGGGAGATATTGAAACTTGTTGACTTCTAGGTGTTATGTTCTTATGGCAAACTGCTTTATAACAAACAAAATTATTCTCAAAATGATAGCAAAACCTCAGCTCGCTGACTGGTGTGCTTCTCACCAATAAAAATATTTTGTTCACTCATGAAGCAAGATAAAGTTGACTTTATTAGTCGAATCATAAACAAAATTAAAGATGTATCTAAACATTTTTAACCATACTTTTCTTCAGTGCTCTAGTTACGTCAGTTTGAATACTTTACCTTTGATTAGGACAAGTGTAAGATTTTTTGCTATTACAGTTTTATAGTATGCAAACTTTATTTAATTTTCTGGATGGAACGAACAGTACTCACAATAAATACTTGTCATTTAGGATAAAGGCTCGATTAAAGGAGCCATAACTCTAATTAACTTTTGAGCACAGCACTGTGGTCTCTGGTTTATCAAAAACGGTTTACATACAGTGTATTGAAGCATATATCAACTGATAATGGTAATTTTTCAATTTTAAGGATAGATACCTTATTTAACTTACAGGCACAGTTTCTTAAAAAAAAAAGTGTTTATAGGCAATATCCAGTAAAGGCATATATAAAGAAAGGAGAAATATATCGATAACCGTATACTTGAATCATTGTCATCTTGAGTAGAGAAAAATGTCCATAACATCCTAGATAACAATAATCATGACGTCATGATTAGCACAATCTTCACGCTTTATCACGGACTTCAACCTTTATCACGGACTTCCCGTAGATCATTACGTTACAGTACAGCAGTGGAAAGTTAAATGAGCGTGATTTCCCATTCATAGGTCATACGAAAGAGAATTCCTAAGAAGTTTTCATAGACTCGAGCAATTCAGTTTCTTTGGATTTATGCGACATATACTCATCTTAGAAATGGCATGTTTACGTGAGTACAAATCGATTTTCTCTCGATCGCGCTGGTGGCTTCGGAAATGGTACGAGAGTTGGGATTTTAAGATTACTTAAGAAGAATCACGTCACGTATTGAATGTATATGAACGCATGCGAAGAAGGTTTTTAAATAATTCCATCGTTGCTTCATACAAGAGCGTTAAAGGTTTACTGGAAGAGCTGACAAAATTATTTGAACAAAACAGATCCCATCGCATAACACAAACAGTACCATCACCAAAGGGTTTAGCTGTAGATATAAAACTTTTGCCGTCTCCGTGCATATTTTGGGCGAGCAGGCTCTTTCTCCTTTTGCTTGGACTCCTTAGGGCAGACACCTTCTTTGGTCATTTGAAAAAAATCTGTGAAGAAATTGTAAGAGGTTTAATTCTTTTACATCCTAAAACACATAAAATATATATCTATCAAATAATAGATTAATACAAAAAAATGGAAACGAATACAAAACAAGCTTAAAAAAACTCTTTAGAAGATTGTAGTTACATTATGTTTTATTTGTGAAGGGGTAACTTGCATGGGTAAATTTGAACTACCGGAATTGAAGAGTCGCATGAATGACTAGAACTAGTGCTGTTAGGTACATTTATTCCTCTCGATTGAGAGCCACAGTCATTTAACCTTTATTGATACGGCAACGTCACGATCTCTCTCGTTTATCTGATAAATTTGATAGATAAGTACTTCATTACAAAACGGGGAATATCTCCGATAAATACTTTAAATGATGTCTTAATTATATGAGGAGCTAAACACGGCGACCACCAAAATATTGATATTAGTACGCCACACGGACTTAGATCTGACCAATGTCCCAGAGTTTTACGCAGCTCACTAACATCAATTATTTTTTAATCATTTACTTTTCAATGGCTCACGTGACGTAGTCTCGACTGTGAGAGCTTTACGAGTTTAAGTCAGCGCGTTTATTCTTGATTTTGTTTTTATACTCACCATCAAAAGTTATCTTCCTCTGAAACTGATGCTTTTGATCTTGTAACATATCATTGATTTCATGATCCGGAATCTTTTCCTCAAGGGTCTGAAAGACTTGTCGTAGTTCATCCGACATCACAAAGCCTCGGCAGTCGCGATCAAATATATGAAATGCTTCTTTGGCTTCCTCCTCGTTGAAAGAAAACTGATTTTTTGCCACCATCAACTTGACAAATTCCTCAAAATCCATCTGACCATTTCCTGAAAATGAAAGAGGTTTAAACTCAATAAATTGAAGGAGGCAGAAAGCTCTTGATCGAACCCTCAAGAGCAGGGCCTGTCTGTCAGTCAGTCAGTCAGTCAGTCAGTCTGTCAGTCTGTCGGTCTGTCAGTCGGTCGGTCTGTCGGTCTGTCAGTCTGTCGGTCTGTCAGTCTACCAGTCTGTCTGTCTATCAATCGTTCTATCTGTTTGTCTGATTGGCTAGTTTACTTACCATCAATGTCCACGCTGTTAATCATCATCTGTAGATCTTCTTCGCGTGGATTTTCGCCAAGAGAGCGCATGGCATTTCCTAATTCTTTGGTGGTAATGAAACCACTGCTGTCCTTGTCAAAGTGTTGAAATGCATCTCTGTACTCTTGATTAACAATAAATAAATAAACAACTGAAAAATACCGCTTAGGGAAACTTTGCACAAAAGATACAGAAACTCATCACAAATTTTGAGTGTCCGAGATAGAATGCAACCTTATCTAAAACGTTCACAATCGAACGGAGCAGTCCAGAAACGGACGCAAGTATCGAAAATCAAACGATATCGATATCAGGCCTTCGAGCCAGATTTTGGATGATTTCGTACATTTTCAGACGGATCCTGATTTCGGACACTTGCGACCGTTTTTGGGACGGTTTCATCTGATTCGGACGCTTGCCAATGCCTCCGTTTTTTAAGACCCTGGTGTCCATGCAGTTTTTAACGTTTGACACTTTGGTCCGTGTACGAACTGTTTTGTCCGAGTCTCGGACACTTACAGGAAAAGCAATCAGTATATAGGCAACATCACATAATACTCGATAACTAGAAATGGTATTTCGTTTTTTGCCTTCAAAAGTAGGATTGAATTCTGCTGTTTAAAACATTTTGCATTGAATTTATTGAGTGCAGGGATAACCTCACCTTGAATTTGCTCTTCAGTAAGTTTATCCTGAGGGAAACAAATAAACAAATTAAACAACAATAAAAAAAATAGAGAAGAAGGGGTGAATTTAGGAAGATTCATATTTCTGATACATCAACGAAGCAACTAATTTTGGACAATAATACCATGCGACTTGTTTTAGAAGGGGAAAAAAATCTTATGTACAGTAAACTAAGCAATAATTTTGCTTCTCTTCAACAGTGAAAATTTCCTCCTTAAGACACGTGGAATTTTAGATTTAATTTAAAGACAATTACCGTTTCCTCGAATTGATCTAGTCATGCGAAGGGTTAATTGGCGTAAAATTGAAAACTTGCCTCAGCACTCTGACACACATTTCAGTGAAAACGAAAGGACGCCAACATAATCCAGTCGAAAACATTTTCTTCCGCCGACTGATACGCGTTTTATTGTCAAAATACATTTTTTGTGTCAAAATACATTTTTGTGTGTTTACACCTCCCCACACACCTGGCATAAATGTATACCGTTTCTTTGCCGTTTATTCAAAATAACAATCAGAAACCAATGAAAACGATTGAGTTGAGAAATTTCAGTTTAATGTGACAGACAGACTCAATTCTGAAGGACTCAAATATTTTTTTAAAAGTCAGAATGTGTAAATAATTAATCGCAAAGTGTTGTTTACATTCTCTTTTCACCTGAGAAGAAAAAAGTAATACTTTTACTCAATCATAACCTTGGACACGAACGAGAATAATTTGAGAAATTTCTATATAGGTTTAATCCAGCTAGAAAAGGGTTATCTGTGAGCACTGATTTATTTTCATCGATGGCTGTTGTCTCACAAATATAGCATCATCGATATGATCCATACTATTGTAAAATATGTGTAAAGCCAACATTTGCATGCGAAAATTTGTTAACGGTCGATGTTGACGCTCTCACGAAAGTCGAACAATTTATGTAACCGCTTGTTTTACTTACCATTCTTGTGCCTGCTTGATACAATGTTACCGGTCCAAGGTGGTCGAATATTTCTTCACGACAGAATTGAGAAGTGTGATGTATTATGAAGTCTGAGGGGGAATTGAAACAAATTATTCGGTGTTATCTCCGAGGGATTTTGGTTTTCTGTGGCATTTTTGTGGTTGCTCTAGCCACAAGCTCGACCGACCAATTTAAGCCTCGGGTGACATCTGGTCTTTCCTGAGAAATTCAAAACTTGTTTGATCGATCTTAATATTATCTTACAAGTTTGTGCAAAAACTGGTAAAGGAAGTAGATTGAAGCTAAAACAAAAACAAAAACTCAGTACGAAACTGAGTTACAGTAGAAGGAAGAAAAACAATAGCAAAAAAATCGCATGAAATATTAAACGTTACTCGGCTTATTGATCGCGCAAGCGATCTCATGTAAAAAGAATTTTAAATCAGATTCAAGAAAATCTTTTTTTGAATAATAATGATGTTATTACGGTGGTGGTAACTGTAAGTTTAAGCTCTGTAAATGGTTGAAAGCTTGGAACTGAATCGTAATTTTTCCATGATAAAAAATTTTAAAAAGTTTGTTATTAACATATATGTATTATGATAAATATTTTTTTACTCACCTCTGGTTGGTTCAGTCAATAAATAGTTAAAATGCAACGCAAGCTCTTCGCAAGTTCAACAAGAATGCAAAACAGCGAGGGACTGGTCATTTTTACTGTCGGGGGAGGAAGGTTTGATCATTATTATCGTCGACTTAGGAGGGGCTGGAGAACTTTGTTTGTGTCACGATAAAATTCACCCAATCCTCCCCCATAAGGCTCTGCTATATCCAGCTCTCTCTCCCCCTCCCCCCCATCATTGGCAGTTAAATGGCAGTCAGATGGCAGCCAGTTTTCTAAATTCCCCCACCTTTATACTCTGTTGGCGACAACTAATCCCGACTCCTTTCCTTCTGAAAGCCATGTGATCCCTCCCAAAAATCCTCCACCCCCCTCCCCCGATAAATAATGAGTGATCCTTTGCATTATTAGGACTTTGTAAATGATAACAAGAAGATATAGAAAATAAACAAATCCATTTTAGCCCAGTCTGGGAAACGCTGACACCGACCAAAGAAGATTAAATTCATCGAGGCACAAGCATTCAGTTTACGGTTTGGCTTTACTTTATTGTTTTATACATTTATATAAATATGTACACTACTTTATAGCCAGAGGAATAATTAGCGAGTCGCTATTTATCTATGGTCTAGCTTTTACAGAATACTGAGTATAGTGAACTTTTGACTTGAAACATGGAATAACCTCATTCCCTAAATGGCATGCAAAATTTAAAACTCCCCAAAAGGAAACTAATTTCCTTAACAAGAAAGGGCTTGCTTCATGCTTTAAATGATGAACATTTCAAGTCCATCCAAGTCAAAATAACATGGAAATGACGGTCTGAACTGATTCGTTATTATAGACGTTTGAATAAGGTGTGGCATAAGCTGCCAAACCAAATAAATGTCCATCTGCAATTTTACCAAAATTTTCATTTGGATTGTTATAGGCACATGAAGAACCTGGATAATGGGAACTTTCTAAGATCACCGGTTAAAGATATTCAGTTTGGCGTAAATATGGTTAATACGAATATTATGAATATACAGGTTATTAGATATCATACTGATTTTGAGCCGCTCTCTAGCTAGAAGAACCGCTTCTTAAGTAAATTTATTTCGATGCTAATGGGTACTAAAATGTGAAAGTTAGAAATAACGTGCATAGTTTACAGGGGAGTTATGATTCCTGCTCTTCTGAAAGATCGGATAACGCCTCCTGGAAACTAGACTGGCAGAGCAAAAGTATGTCTTTGAAGGCAGAAATTGCTGGCGGCTTTCTCGCAATTCCTATTACAATTATTTCATCATACATATTATTAAGACAAGTATTTGTCTTATTAATTTCGTTCAGTTAATTTCTCTGAAATGGTATTTAATAAATTTTATCATATTCTTAGCTCTTGCACAAATTTCCGCATGTGGTAGAACAGTGCTTCAAGGGTATTTCAAGAGGACTATAACAGAAATACAGCAGATGAAGGTGAACAGAACACTCCGGAGTTCAATGAGATAACATGAGTATTCAAAGGATAAAGACAACAACGCCAGCTGTTCTTCACCAAAGCACTTCTCACGATGAAACTGTTTGTCTTGCAACGGATAGAGTAGTGTGCCTTTTACTAATGTTTCCTGCAATTAACCAAAACAAACTCAAGGTTATGAAAGAGCCGCGACCACTGTTTTAGAAAATCGCCGCAAGATGGTCTTGCAAGGAAACGGATGGGTAAATGGGAACACAAGGGAAATGAAGACAAAACTAGTTCTAGGCGAGTACTTATCGAGTATTTTCAGGTCGCCAAAGGATTCGTCTTTCGTGTAAGGTTTGGGTGTTTAACGCAAACTTTGATCTATCGTGATGCGTTCGGAATTGAATACTGATATTAGACTAAGAAAGTAATTAAGTGGAGCCAACTTCAGAATCTGTCAAATAGGGGAAAATGACCAGGCAGAAACGTTTTCCAACAAAGTGACAACCATGACATCTTAAGGGATGGTTTTCACCACGACTAAGTACATTCCCAGATCTCCAAAGTTTGATAACAGAGGAAGACATCTTACTTTTCTTTCTCAGCGACGAGTAACACTTTGGAGGTGCTATGGTGCAAAACATCCATCCCTTTGGAATAAAGACTCGTTTTGTTTGTTTCCCGTTGGTCTGAAGGCTTATGGTCCGTCCCTCTTGACGTGTAGCGTTGGTACCGAAAGGAAGAGATAGTTCTAAGCCATTTTTTTCTTTCTTTGAAATATCATTTGTAATAGCGTTCATAGACGACATGGCTGGAAAAAGAGGAAGTGAGAATTTGCATTTGGGTTCTTTGAATAAATCACGTTCATGGCGAAAATCATGGTTGCAGTCCTGTCAAAGATACTGACAAGATCTCGATAAGTTCCCGTCGGGATTCCTACGGAAATCGATTGATTATTGATCAAAGGGGGGAATTTTCTAAAGAAACTGTGGTGCTGCGTCGGTGGGAGCATTTGGCAAAGGGCTAACGCTCGAAACGTTAGCCTTTAAACTCTTTACGGTGGCCAATTTACGTTTTCAACTCAGCTGATAATACTAAATTACCCTGATTGTTGATCAGCTAAGGAGTTACGACTCTCTGCACCAAGAACATACTAACCATTTCCGAATGCAGTCTACATGTCTGATCAGCTCATAATCCCCTTTTGTATCAACACATCAGCAAATCATTGATGATCTTCATCAATATTTGAACAAGCGAACAAGCTGGCATCCAACATGACAACCTAAGTTTTGCATTCACCAGCCTTAACCCACCTTGCTTTGTGTGTGCCTCTACTGAAGCCAAAACTGAAATCAAGTGTCGACATAAACATTAGATGGTGGTAAGTCTACTCTCAGAATCTCGTAATTTCCAAGTCTGGCCCCTGTTGTTGATAGGGTGGATAACGCCATCCTCTAGATAAATCTATATCCAATGGACAGCGCAGTACGTTTTGTGATCACTAACTTATCTGATGGATGGCGATTTATTCGTTCACTAGCGTCATCCATCGTTTGAATTACTGGGCACAGTAAAATATATATTCATGGTAAAAGCAGGTTCGCGGAAACCATACAGTTTGTTATAGCGGACGAGTGATGAGAATAATTAAAATATTGATTATGGGATTTTTTATCCAATACTAAATTCTCAGGACCAAAGCTGTAAGCAATTTATGGCAGACAGTTTAGAAAATTACTAAAGAGATCTTGGGAATGAAAGGGTTAAAAAAGATATTGTGTCTGTCATGGGCAAGAGTACATGAATACTGTAAGTGGTAAAAACAAAAAGAAGAAAAAACTAATCAGTATGAAACACACCTTTCTCTATCTTTGTACGTTTTCTGCTCTCTGAAAATAGGAAAATCACCTCAATTCATATCACATTTTTGAGATTTCCCGTCCTAAAGATTCCCTGTTCCATCGTTCTTTGCTTCCACAGTTTTCTTTTTTCTTATACTCACAAAAATCAACAAATCAGATGAAAACTCATTAACCAATGATAACAAGACTCGATCAGTAGCTCACATTTTTCCACCGTTAACAAAGCAGGTCGAGTCTTTTTCATTGATGCACAGCCGAGATTTGTCCATGCTTGTTTCAGATTGAAGTTATTCAATTTCCTAGTTTTTTCTATACTAGAAACTTGTGAAAATATAGACCAACACTGACCATGATATGCTGTCTCTCTTTCAATTGATTTCAAAGCTGTTGAACAGACAACAAGAGAGTGATTCGAATAAGAAAGATGGCAAATCTTAAGCCCGGTAATGCCGGGTGAAATAAAGGAAGATGTTTCTTAGTCATGTCATGAGGATGCACTCAGTAATTTTATGTTGCAGCGAGCAATCATAGCACCCGTAATAAATGAGAGATGTAATAATGAAAATAAATAATGAGATTGCAAATTCTGAGCGCAAAAGTTGCTCAGGAACTCTCTCTGGAAGGACATGCACATGTGACTTTACCGTCCTCCGCGCTCAATCCTGTAGAAATATCGATACAAAGTAAAAACTGACCTGATTCAATGTCTCTAATCCATCGCTCTTCTTGTTCATCGTCTTCGACGGAACGTAAAGCTGTTTAAGAACAATGAATATTCAATGAGGATGTTTTTCGAAGATATTTTAACTACAAAACAATAAAAACCGACATCATGGTTTTGGATTGTGTATAGTTTTACGAAACAACGCAAACTTTCGAGGGAATTCAGAACAACAGATGAATCAAAGTTATGGAACACCTTTAGAAACACTACCTTTTTTCAAAGTTTCCATATTTTGCGCCTGGTGCTCCAAAACAGGATGTGCATCATAGTCGATTGCCTTCAATGCTGGAAAGTGAAGAAAATATATTACAAAGAGGAAGCGAAGAAAAACTATCCTTTCGTGAATTTCAAGAAAAATTTATTTGACACAGCTCTTTGTAATTAACCAGCATTGTAACAGCATGCAACAGTCAAATTCGAAAGTTGCTGTATGTACTCAAGAGAGATATTCTCTTGATGTACTCAATTAGGGCGCATTTCGACTGTATGCCACAAAACAAATCAAAATCAGACCAAAATCTGAAAGCAATCAAAATCAGACCAAAGGCCCCACATGGATGAGAAGTTAGAGTGATCATAATAAAGCTGCCTTAACCATTAAGTGACACCCAGGGTAACCGCGACGATTTGAAATAATGATTATTCATCGATTGACTTTCGAAAGCTTGTTTAAGCCTATGACTTCTAAGGATGACTAGCAACTAATTTGTCCAACAGTATCACCCCTGAATCCCACATTAATGCCATGGGAATAAAGGAAATATTCACCAACGAACATCGTACTCTTTTCAGTTCAAATACTAGGTAATGCGCTAAGCAAGGTCCATTAATCCCACTAAAAATATATATATAAGTGTACTTTTCCATAAATGAGGTTAAAATTCAATTACTGCTGGAAATATCACGAGAAGAGAAGCTTATGTTACACCTGGGTAGCAATGTGAAAATCCCGTGCCAAGTCATTAATTTGTGTTGAACATAACTTGAACACTGTGTTGGCTTACATGTGTTTGATGTAAAGCCTTGATTCATTATCATATCCGCGACATGTTTTACCTTTCTTTAATCTTTCCTCCTCTAATCCAGATGCTTTGAGCCTTCTGCCCTCATTTTTTACTCCATCTCCTGAGGCACCTGAAAACATTCACTCGTTACTTGAAACATCACTGAGAAAATCAATGAACACTGACATGCAAGTTAGAAGACTTTGGAGAAATTGACCTCCTGAATGACTTGAAAGTTATCCCTGATTTTTCACCTATTTTCTTAGATTAAACCAAAAAAAATCGTTTTCCACGTTTTAAAGTGAGCGTGCAAACCGTAAAAAAAGGAAATGAAAAATTTGAAAAAGAGAGCAGTGAAAAGAAAAATTCTTTTAGACAACCTGACTGGTGGCAGTTTTGAGTTCAGTTATTTTGGTCAACTCATAACGTTCGAACTGGTACCAGTCTGAGACGAACAACCTCAGTAATAAAATGAAAAGCCAAACATAGAAGACATAAAAACATAACTTTGTTAAAATCTTTCTTTGCTACCAGTGGTCAAATAGGGTCAAAGAATTTCCGCCTTCAGTCGCTAAGCTTGAGAAACAACAAAAAAATACGGGGGGCAAGGAGTAGAGAATCTAACGTAAATTATCTATTTTTAAAGGAAAGAGTGCGACGAACACTTCTACCCTAGTTTACGATTATTCGATATTTATTCGTTCAGAGAGTGCTCTTATTTTGTTTACCAATTTTGAATTGGCCTTATTTGTTCCAAGATTAAAAACAATCTATATTTTGTGAGACATACTCATACACAAATTTAAATGCGCCTTTCAAAACAATCATTCTTTCATAGAAGAAAACTTTAAGCCACAATGGTTTCATGTCAACCCTTTCGGAATAAGCGGCTGCCTTTGTACTTGTGAGATTTTCTGCGTTGACTTCATAAGCAAATTTTGAATTTATCGCTTAAGAGAATATAGTTGAAATGCCAGTAATAACTCAGTACCTCCTTTGTCGATCAGTTTAGAGCTATTAATGCATTGTAAAACTTACCTTTTGCTACTGCTATTCGAAATCCGTCCGCCACATAAACATACAGTAGTAAAACGGATATCAATTCTGTTGGTTTGAAATTCCGTTCCATTGTTCCGGCCGCTAAAATGGCTGGAAAGTGTCGTCGCTTAAAATAAGTGGGACCTCATTTTGAAATAGCACCGGTAAGTTACTGAATAATTGAAAAGAAATGTTGTTCCACAAGTGGAAAAGGCTTCTGGCAGCAAGCCTTCAAAATTTTCTCCATTGAGAACTGGTTGCGTAATATGCAATTGGCGTGTTAAAGGTCGTAAGGTTAGAAGAATGAGATTGAAGGGCGCAATTTACTTCAATTGTCAATGCTCTCTCCAGAAATTAGGGGAGCGGGTGGAGAGAAAAACTTTTATTTGTTAATTCAATTAACCACAGAGTATGCCCCTCATATTGGCTACCAAAACTGTGAAAATATCAGTAAATATGTGTTGCCATCTCCAAGTGTAGTTCAGTACTTGAGGCCATTAGAAGTGACCGGATAAAAATATGGAAGCCGCGCCAATGAACTTAAAGACTTTCAGGTTCACAAATTTCCCTTCGCCAGCCCCCCTCTAATATTTTCTTTCATTATATGTTTTGTGTTTGGGACGTTGCTTTGTGGCTTTGACCCAGATTAAAATTTTGGTCTCCTCACTGACGATTGTTTTTTGTTTTACCTCCATCGCACTGTTTGTTCAAAATGTGCTTGTCGTCTTTATTTCTGAGTGTAAAGCTGGTCGTAAGCAGAAGTACTATAACAATCGTTTCTGATGAAAAGAATGATTTGATCCTCCAAAAAATCTACGTAGATGACATGGTGAATTTAAAGATCATTCATTGTAAAGAACGCACCAATAATCTTACCGAAAATATATAGCATGCAGTTTTAATTCCTCCATATTACATTCCTATCGTTGGCTTTTCCCTTTAAGCCCGATTTACGACTCTGGCTGGCAAAAGTGAAAGTGCTTAAAAAGCAGACCGCAGTTTAATATGTGACAATAAGAAATGGTGAACCAAACATTTCTGATAATAGGCAAATTTATTGCAAATCAAATCATATCTCTGAGAGCTCTATAAGAAACATCTTGAAGTAGCGTTCCATCAAACGCCGACGACTTCATACTCGGTACATGATCCAGACTTGAACAAAGTTAACATTCTGAAAATAACAGAATCACGAACGGCTCAAAGTCTTTCGTTTGTACCAAGATCTGCCGGTGAAGTTTTGAAGAAAAGCTCTTCAAGCACTAAGCTTCAAAGAGCGACGAACGTAGGTGGCACACCTTCCCTTACTAGGTGGTCAATAACCCTCCATTCAACATAATAAATAGATAAAGTGTAATTCATCTCTAATAAGTTACTTGAAATTCTCCCCTTTCCCCCTAAACAATGTTGCAAAAAAATTGGAGACCGTTATGTTAACACCAGGCAAGAAACTAGTGACCTTTTTGTAAACACGAGGCAAAAATAAAATGGAAAGAGGGAGAGATACATGAACGTTATAGACTAAACAGTCCAAAAAATAGTAAAACATGCCTAAACTTTTGCCTGTCATTGTAGGTTGCCACACAATCTCTGAGGCAAAAATATTGACCAACTGATCATGTCCTCGACCGACACCACATAGATTTTTCATTTACATCTCTTTCAGAAATCGGTGCTCACCTTTATCGTCGTCTAGCATCGGTGATACAGCTATCTTTCTACTTTGTGGTCTGTCTGGTATAGGATCAAGTTTGCGATGGCTTTCGTCAATGCTTAATACTCGACTTCCCCTAGATAATCTTCGCTTTCCTCTAAATGTTGCCTCGGTCCCTCCAAAAATTTCTGATAGATTCGAAATACTTTTGCATCCAGCTTGTGCGTGAAGGCCTTTAGGACGAACATAATTGAAAGCAAAAAAATATTGTCAGCGTACAAAAACTTCACCCTTACTGAAAATTTCAGTTCTTCCTTCTTTAACATAGACTTGAATTTTAACCGTTCTTTCTTCCGTAGCTATGCTTAAACTCTGGAAAAAGTGACACGTGACTCACCTACAATATCCAGTACTGAAGGATTGTCTTCTGGGTCATCAGGCAATGCAGTTTCATGGAAACGAGCAATCACTAAAATCTTAGGCTCGACTCCATCGAAATGCAATCTAAACGTTCGGTAAACCTTCGGCAGCACGCATGGTCCTTCATAAATATCTCTGCTATCGAGATCTGTAATCTTGCCTTGGATAAGAACAACCTTTTGAAATGAACGCGAGGGGTATTATGCATTGTTAACAATAAACGGTTGCTAGGGAGGCCAGCATTTATACAATTGTGTCGATTTTCAATGGATTTTCGAAGAAATCCATTTTTCCTTTGCCTTTTGAATTGAACACATTTCAAACGAAATTTTAAATGTTGCTCACATCTTTTAAGGATAAAATAAAGACCTAAAAAACAGAAATTTCTTTTTGATGTAAGACGAATTAGACAAGGGCAGGAGACAAATTTTTTAGAGAAATGGTCATTTGGTGCGTGTATGGGATAAAAAATTCTGAAAACGAGCATTCTTAGGATAAGGATAAAATCAAGACTTAAAAAATAGAAATGTCTCTCTGATGTGAGACGAATAAGAGACAAAGGTAGGAGACAAATTTTAAAAAAGTTATTTGGCGAGTGTATGAGGTAAAGAAAACTGAAATGAAAGCGAACCTTATTAGGATAAGGAACTTGTATTATATTAGCCAGGTGTCTGCAAAGACCTTGAGGCGAGATGAACAATCTTTTTAAATTTATTCGTGAGGTAGATGTATAAATTCTTCGCGTCTACTCTCTTTGAAAATTTCAAATTATCTTCTGTGAAATATAAGCCAACTTGAATCGAAACAGGATATATCCATACATACGATGGAAAGCCTTTATATCACATCCGCTCTCTAATTAGATCTAATTTACCTCTTTCATCTGCTCGTTAGTCTTGAATAAAGTATTTAACCCTATGGGAAGATTGACGATAAACGAACGTTCGCACATGACCCGGATTTTGTCCTTCGTCCAGTTGTAGTAAGCGGGCACTTCTAACAAGAGAGGGACAGCGATTCGCACGCCACAAACTTTCCAAAGCCGGTCAACGAGATCTGGGTAGCGAGTCATGGCAACTTTCATATCATCTGAGGTAATGAAATAGGCCTTATGGAGAAACAGGAAAAAAAAGTCTTGCACAAGAAATACAAGAGTTTGTAACAGTTGACAACTTCTAGGGAAATTTATTGAGTATTGTTTTCCCAGCCATTTTTTTTTAAAGATTCCAGTCATCGTGGAAGTACTCTGGAATAGATGGCCAGTAATCAAAGGATGACTCGTGTCTGAGAATGAATTGAAGAAGATTCCAAAGTCAAAGGACTACGATGAGACCAGGTATCATACAGAAGGGAACTTATACCAGCTGATAAACCTTCTCTTGGAGTTGGTGACTAAGCTCAAGAAATCTGCCGTAAAAACGCACCTTACGTAAAATTGCCATTGCTTAGGGCTGTCCCTTTCTTCCTAACTTACGGTAGTATATATGTAACCAGTTATAAAATGGTTTGATGGAAAAGCATCATTCCAACCCTTATTTAAATCACAAAGGCGCATGTTTGCAAAACTAAGACTACCACACATCTACGTAATTTGGAAACTCCCTACATTTACCCTCTCTTAATAACGGCCAGTTAGTACGCCAGCAAGTTTAATGATTGTAAAAAATGTAAAGTGATATAATATTTGTACCTGGACTGCAGACTCGCAGGTACAAGAAGAGTTTCTTTGGGAGGAAGTAAGAAGACCCATCTCCCCAATCAAGTTACCAGCGGAAACGTAATCAGTAGTGACAATCATCTCTCCCACTTCTGGCTCCTCACCATCAAAGTAACCTCTCCTTGCCACCGATACGCCGATCATCTAAACAAGAGACGAGGCAGCTCTGCTTTACTTTTAAGAGTCTCAAAAAGGGGGAAGGTCACATCACATGATAGAACCTTGCACGAATGCGCGAATTTTTGTGAACCCTTCTTCTGTAAATAATGGCTTCTTTTTTTATTTATTATTTACTTTTCCATAACAAACGAGAATTGTGTCCAGAGTATGTGGAAAACCAATACACGGCAGCTGCAATTTCTTAAAGACGGAATGTAGGGAAATTCTAGCCACACGACTTTAAAAAGGTATATGGCATATAATTTCGTCATGCAGATTGAACAAGTTTATTTATCAGAGAATAAGAAAATGACTCGGTACCTTAACCATTCCTGAAACTATCAAATATATTCCCTTTAGGTCTTCACCCTGTCTTGCTATAGTATCACCGGCTTCAAACATTTGGATGCGTGCGGCTGAGGTTATGAAGTCCACCGCCTCTGACGGCATTCCTTCCAGCCACACCACATTACGAAGCAACTCGGTGGGCTTTTGTGGGGAAATGGAGGCTGGAGCACTCAGCTGTCGCTTCATTTTTACCTCAACAAGCTGTGAACCAAAACAAAGACGTTCAAGGGAGTATAATGAAGTAATCTATTTGTTATTTTCTAGTCATAACGAATGAAGCTTTCCACTTGATACTGGAAAAAGACTCTTGTATTTCCTATGAAGGGGACGAGCAAAGTATTCAGTTAATTTTAAAGCGCTCTATTCTTCAATTTCCACAATTTTTTTACGCCGAAGCGATCATGTCGCTCTGTTTTATAATACGGCACAGTCATATTTCCTTCCTGTGTTTTTCAACAAAAGACACTGATAACTCAAATCAGAAATGACATTACTCAGAAGTCGCCTAAATGACTTATAATACTACACCTACGTTTTCCCTACGCGCTTTTGCCTATGCTTCACTTTGTCGCGTAATTTTGACCTATCTCACCGATTCTAATTTTGCTGCCTCTGCCTCATCTAACAAGCCACCACCTTTGAGTTCGTGAATAACGTCACGGGCATTATTAAGAATCGTGCGAATAGCCTGCCGCGTTTTGACGGAGATCGCAATCCCGGGGTGCTCACGTTGCAGCATACCTGTAAAACCAGCCATAGAGAACTAACAGTTAGTTGATGATGTCATCCTCAAGGTCTTAATTATGGAATTACCTTGACAGGCCTGAGAACAGGGACGCATGGAAAAAAAAG